GCTTCTAATGCGTTACGTTTATTTAATGAAGGTTGTTGGTAATACGAAGAATGTCACTCACGAAGGTAAGCAATTTAGCTGCTCGCTTTGATATAAAACATCATTCTAAAATTTCACAGTCGTGGCTTTGCTGGCCCCAGCGTTAGTAATGAAATTTCTAATATATATAGACCTTCTGCCAGTTGTAAAGCCTGAGATAAGTAAAAGTAGCTTGAGCCATTTCGATAGCCGAAGTGAGTGCCACCGAACCAAGCGTCGAAAAAGCGGTTCTGTCAGAAAGTGCATCGTCTCCGGAGAGGTGCGCAATGATTGGCACATTCCAGCGTGGCGCCAGCCGACCGATTACCAGCATTTCTGCAAGCGAAAAGCATTGACATAGCGCGCTTGGATTTAACTACAGTTTAAAAATAACGGAGGTTTCTGAATAAATTTTTACTGGACATTAAGAATATATATTAGTTAAAGTTTTTAAAAAATATTTAAGCTTGGGCCTTATCAAAGTTTACTTCGAACGATCTCCTTTAGGATTACTATAATTAGCCCACCGCTCCCCAATGTTCTCATGCAAGAGCATGATTACGTGAAATGAGATCTTGTTTCTGTAAGCACTTCAGAACATGTTCCTAAAAGAATTACTTCAAAGGCGGCGCACCTTCATTACAACCCGGCCCAAAGTATACTGTAGCATTGTGCATATAGTGTAAATAGGCAGCGTTTTCAACACCGCTGAATCTGTTGCATGACTGCATCGTTATCACTCTGCAAAGAGGAAAAAAACAACTGTTTTCTGGAAAGAAAATAAACAATTTTAGTGTCTTTAGCAATCCACAAGATCTATAATCAGATCAAGGGGTACTGTAGTATTTCTTGTCACAAATAATTAATGCAGCTTAGAATCGAAGAGCCCCACACAGCTGCGCTTAGCCAGCGAGAGCATGGGTGAACTTTTGAGCAAAGCAAAAGCTTACCAAGAATAATTTTTCTTTGTCATCAAATAACGTTGAAAATATCACTGTCACGATAAATTCGAGGATTTGCAACTTTGGGATAACACGGAAATAGAAAGTTGTAAGAAAATCATTGAGAGTAGAAATAATGCGACGATGGGTGCGTTGAAAATATTTTGCTATCCCAGTCCTCGTCCAGAAACATCTACGTAATCTCCCCAGAAAGCCGTCGCTCAAAATGTCCTCCAAAACCGAGCAAAATTTCATCCCCCGCTACGCAGCCGCACCGCTCCTCGTCGTCGACCACAAGAATGATGTAATTATTAATCATTTACTGTGGCCAAATCAAGTTGTAACGTCTTCGAAAATAACACGGTGGGAAGGAGAGATGAAGGCACAAAGGAGAAATGCCAAATTGCAAATGTTTTGAAGAGTTTTCCTCTTCAGAGCAACCCAGTAGCAATACTAACTCCGGAACCTCGTAGTCCGGATAATCATGATAATTTTGTTAATTAATAAGTGTGTTACAGCTGCTCCGCCATTTTACTGTACCAGCAATTGAAGTAGTGCATCCACGGTTTTTTTCAAGGAGGCGTTTTATGACAGAAGACATTCTGGCAATGTTTTGTAATAATAAAGAAATTTATTAAAAAGTTATTATTAAAACAATAAATACGAAATATCTTCGCATTTTTAAGGTCAAAATAAAATCAGATGTTAGAATAAATTGTGTCTTCTCAGCAAAAAATGTAGCTTTGTGCTCCAAGCAAAGCTACATATATATCAGAAGTGTAAATGATTTTTGAGGACTTAAGATCCTTACTGCATTTGATTAAAAAAGCATAATCATGATGAAAAAACCTGAATACGCATTGAAGTTTGGCAAACACTCAGTGCAGCTATACCAGAATCTCATGTCTTCAAGAACTTGACTTCACTTCCGAAACGTTTGTCTAAATGGCTTTACGTACGAAACAAGTAAATTTGCTACGATGTACAAAAATTTGATGCATACTCGAGCATTAAGTTGGTTGGGGTAATATTGCGACTCTGAAGATCACGAGTGCAAAATCTGAGTACATCGGCTTCGTAGGCGACAAGCGGATTAGCGGGCAGTAAATGACCAATTCGAACGATGCTCTTATGTGTCCAAATAAGCTGAAGAAGCAGCGGCAGCAAAATAGAGAAGCACAAACGCATTTGATGATCAGTGATGACGTTCATAAAATTTGCATATTCTGCAACTTTGAGGTAAATAAACAGCATTCTAATGATGAGGTTTTACAGTTTACATTTTGGGCGCATAGTGGATAGTTGCGTAGCGGCTTATCCACAAAAACAATCTGTGCTAGACTACACACTTACATTTGAATCTAAACGCTCCAACACGCAATTTATAAAACAGAACTTCTCGTCCAAGTCAATATTTCGGATTTTCACTTATTTTTTAGCCGTTCTCACAAGAAAATTCGCGCAAGCAGAATATTCGTGCTAGATTACAAAATATCAGCAAAGAGGTGAAATATGTCCGTTAGCCGATATCTGGTGATTCGGTGCGCGACTGCAAATTGTGTAAGAACAGCCGTGTCAGGGGAAATGAGCTTAATGCGTTAATAGAGCTGGTTTTATCCGAAATTAAAAAATACGAAAAATCCCGTGCAAAAGACGTTGTTTTTTACCGGCCGGAAATGCTAAACGGATGGATGTTAAGTGGTCAAGCGAGCCTTCGTTATCATCGCCATCCTCATTTCATCCCGTGCCAAAGCTATCGCCGCTAATGAATATTTAGCAAGCCTTGAATTTTGATTGAGTGTTATATGTCCAGTATTATTTCAGAATCGGAAAATGTCCTTTCACAACGTATCATAGAATGGCGTTTAGCTTTTGCAGTTCATGAATCTTTTTTTGACCTTGTTAAATTCTGCACCTAGAAGAAAATGTGAGTTGATTCCACGCAGATCGCTAAAGACTGCACAGCCAAAGTTCAACTGGAACCCATCAAACATAGCCTAAAAAGAAAAGAAGGAAACATTGCTGCATGCTAAGGCAGTGTTAAGTCCAGAAATAAAGAAAAAAAATGGCAGGTGCGATTCTGTATGTGGTTTGGCCCACGCTGTCGAAATTTCAGCTTCCTAGTTTTCCAGCTTTTGATGCGATTTACTGCGAGTTGATTCATGCAAAATTCTTTTTTTTTCTGCTGAGGTAAAGATGCAAAAAGAGGTTGGGTATAAAAAATTATGCTTTGTCGATTTCTGTCAACTGAGCTTGGCTAAATCTTTGTATCTGTATCATTTTTTTGACGTTTCAAGCAGTCTGTTTGCATATGAAGTATTTTCGCCCTCTGCATCAATGATGAAGAAGCAACAATAGTCTAGATGTATTTTTAACATCTCAATAAAACAAAATTTTTGCTAGTATTTTATGCATAACAGTGCTCTGCGCCTTGAAGCTTTCCGAAAGCTTTACATCTGGTACCCAGACGGGTAGTATTTTTGCTGTTTAAGCATAACGCAAGAAATGCGATACAATACTACAGATTTATTTATCAAACAGGATACTTGTATTTATACATACATGCGCGTCATTCTCGATAACAGTTTGTGTCCAACAGGATAGTAGGGTTTTTATTTATTTATTTATTTTTTGGAAGATATCATACACTTCCTAAACCGGGTGGACGTTTTTGTGTGCCTGGTCCATCTATTTGGTTGTGCTTCATTTTCATTTTCACTAGGTTTGGCCATTCTTGATAATTTATCAATTTTTAACCATAATAAAAATAATCACTTCTCTCTGCCATCGTCGTTTATGTCATTAGTTGTAAAAAACGTGTTTTTGCGACACATTAAAGAAGCGTTCTGGAAGATGTGATCGTGTAATTCTGACTGCTAGGGAGTTTTTTTTTTTTAAAGAATCAAAATTTCAGCTTTTTCAAGCATATTTTGAAGCTCAAGGCTTAAACACGCATTCTGCTTGCGGATAAGAACCGGTCAGCTCATTTTGCTGAAAAGTTCTAGTGACTATATTTAACTGTTCCCAGAAATCGACTAACTCTCTGTGTATTTAATAACTTTGACAGTGTTAATTGGTATCTGCGAAGTATGGCGACTCACTTTTTCCGTAAAATGAATTCTTCTATAAACATGAATCCTTTTTTAATTGCATGAAGTGAGTTTACAAAGTTTTGCGGTTTAAAAATCTTTACTAATGTCGATAATGCTTTGCCCTCTCAAAAAATAAATGTATTTTTAATTCAGTGCTAAAGCTTTGATCATTTTCATTTTTTTAAGATGAGCATGTAGTACGTAAAATACCGCGAGATTTTTCGCTTTTCTGAAAAGCGTCTGTGTAAGGAATAATTTTATTTTTACATCCTTTTTTTAAACTTATAAAAAATCCATGCAAATGTCTGAATACGCATTCCGAGAAAAGCTTGATTTACACTTCAAGTCATAACTCATTTCATAAGGGTTCACTTCAGTTCAATCAGGACTTTTGTTTCGACTTAGTGCTACCTTAGTGATTCATCACTAGGATGTTTTGAGAACCGAGAAGATGCAGCGACAGAGCGGGCAATTGCAAGCAGAGAATTTCACAGAAAAGCAGGGGAGCATTTTCAGGATCCCTTCCCATCCGTGCGTCCCATTGATTCCAACAGATGACGGAGTTTCTCAGAAATGATCCATCTGTTTCTAATGCTACAACCAATGCTACTACTACTGCTACTACTATTTCAGCTGCTAAAGAAGCATCAGTTGTTATAAAGTGAGGGCGGGGGCAGCATAGGTTGGCAATCCGGTATATATAACTGCCCTAGCTGCTCACCTCCTGCTCATTAGCATTCCACTGCTTGCAGGCACAAACAGTGCGTCCGCTCCTTGCTTCCTTTACAATCCGCCATTTGGGCCAGAATGGCTTCAAACAAAGTTCGTTCTCCGAAATCTAAACTTTTTATTTTGAAACTCGAAAATGTACGCTTTTTTAAGGCAAACTGAGAATTATCCGCAAAAATGTGCGACGAAGAAGTTGCTGCGCTCGTTATTGACAATGGCTCTGGGATGTGCAAGGTTCGCTTCTTCCGCTCTTTGCAATGTTTGCGCATTAACTTTAACTGCTTTCAGTGCATGAAAAAAGAACTTATAAAAAATTAAAAATGCAAAATGGAAATTCTCAGTAATGAACCCACTGTATGTGACGCAGCGCCGCTGCCTGTCGGCGCTATGCAGCAAGCAGTGTGTTTTTATATTCCCAGGAAAACCGGGCATTTTCCGGAATTTAGTGGTTTATGTAGGTTTCGAAGCGTTCCAGTTTCCTTCCCAAGCAGCTTAACGGGAGGGGTGAAATCTCAAGCAAGTGTCGGTGAAATGTTTATTTGCTTGCTCGCTTTTCACAGCAGCCATCTCCACTTCCCCCGGTTAATAAAATTTTACACTAGTTTTTATCAAAATTTGTTGAGCGGCCAATCGTTCATAAAAGCAAAATTTCTGGACAATCACTCGAATAGCGAATGAAACTACTCAACAGGAGCTGCTAACGCTTACTAAAAAAGGTAGCCTGTTTTCTAACTGTTAATTAAAGCTATTTTCAATTATATAAAGTCAATTAAGCCCGTTAGTTTTCGCAAATATGCATTTAAATCCTTATCAAATTGATCTATATTCATTTTGATGTTAAGGTTAAATTACTTACTAGATTGGCAGAATTTCGTACGATATTTGAAGAACAGATATTAGCTGTTATACGACCTCATAATTAGTTAATTCTAAAGCTTACTGGAGATACCAAAGACTGAATATTGTAACACGTGTGACAAGTAATTATATAACTAACGTTTCGGTCCATTAAATTGCATAGATTTTAATGCAGGGTTGCAACTGAACCTTGTCAACGCTACCGTTACTGCATAAATTATTATTGTTGCCATTATTATTATTATTATTATTATTATTATTATTATTATTATTATTATCGTCATTGTTGCTGTTTTATTAGTGGTGGTAATAATAATTATTATTATGTAATAACTGTATGTCCTTTATCACTGCATCGCGGTATTTTTCTAAGTTTGTCCTTCCAATGTCTCAGTAGTAGAAAATTTGTTCAAAAAGTTAGAAAGTCTAGTTCAAGTTAAAGTCAATAATTTTTTATTTCGGCAATTGTAAATAAATTTGCCATTCCATGGAAAGCTGTATCTGGTTGTGTAAAGTTTTTGGAGCAAATGCTGGCCAAGCAGGTCGCCTCGCCGATCCCTCCAGCACACTCTAGGCATCCGCGTCGTCTCGTGTTTCATTGCAGTAGTGCGCAAACCCGCTCCGCACCGAGCAGCAGCGGCACATTGTGTAATCTTTGCAGTATTATTCTTGGAAAAAGCTCATTTCTGTGAAAATTTAACTCATAGGATCATCTGGAGAGCAAGAGGGGGACCGCTGAGAGGCAGCACTTAGACAGAGAGAAGCAGCCGACAGGTGTCTCGATGTAGCTATTAAGTGCTTGAGTCAGAGACGAGCAGAGACACATGTTAATAATACTATATAGTTAGTAGCAATAGCAGGCTAGATCTTGTATTAGAGCTCAGCATGAAGCTAGAAGCCACGATTCTTGGAACTAGACGAACATTTGTTGTTCCGGCATCGTCATCATCTTAGAGCATCGCACGAAGTGCTGAATGTGTAACAGACAAAAGCAGACCTGAGAGCGGGGTAAGAACATTTTGACTTCCAGCAACACATCAAGACTCGGATGAACGATAACATTCATGGAAACAAATAAACCAGCCAAAAGAGTTTGTGCTTGAGAGGCAAACTTTGTATTCCGTGTAAGAGACAAACTTCAAGTTTGCTTTTGAAAGATGAACTTTGTGTGACTAACGCAGTAGGCGCAAAAATTTATCTGAAGCTACAAGCGATAAGGATGAGCGAAAAAAAAAATCGTTCTCAAACGTCTTAGTATATGTACCGAAAGTTTCCAGTCAGCGTGGGTATATTCCGTATTAGTGATGTTACTAGGATGTTCTCACATGCCGGGTGCAGCTACGTCAAGCCCATCGATTCTAGGCCTTACAGCCCAAGTTAGTACCTTAGCATCATAAACAGCATTCCAAAAATTAATTTAGCTCATTTCTTTTTCTCATCTCTTCAACTTTCATGTTCTCCTCTGAATTATACAATAATTATACAACGTTTAACATTGCTGATTTCGTATGAAAAGTGGAGAATTTGAACTTACAATTTGTTAGTGCTTGGGCGTTCCTCCCCGATTGTCTCAGAGCAAAATTTCGAATACAACATTTGGAAGTGTCAAGAGTTAGCATCACATGTGACAAGAAGGCTGATTCGCTGTAAAATAATTTACACTTAAACTTTCGAAAAAAAAACTGATTTTACAAAAACAATAAACAGCCCAAATTTTTGAGATTTTGATACTTACCGATACATGACAATGGAATATGAGTAGTTCCAGAACTCTAATTGTCCGTAGCTTTTTTCCGGCGGAAGAGATAGTAATTCATTTTTCATTTTTCAAGAATATTTCTGCAGTGAAAAGAAGAGCACTGCAATAGTACGAAAACGAAACACAACGAAAACTTTGAACTTTTGCTACGGATAAAGCGAACGGCATTCGTTTTCTCAGCTGGAAACGTTTTTTTAAATTAATGTGTGACGAGCTATTTCGCGCTTTCAGGCCGGATTTGCTGGTGATGACGCCCCACGTGCGGTCTTCCCGTCCATTGTTGGCCGACCGCGTCACCAGGGTGTCATGGTTGGTATGGGACAAAAGGATTCATACGTCGGCGATGAAGCACAGTCCAAGAGAGGTGATTTACTTTGACATTGATTTAGATAGAAATTTGGACAAAAATGCTTAAGCTGGCCTTAATCCTGAACTTCCGCTAACTCTTTTCTGTTTTGGATACAGTTTCCGGAAGAATCGCTTGCCCGTCATCGCTTTCGTCACGGCTACTGGTTTAAACTGCTTACTAACGAAATGAGCGTAAAATAAAGCTGATGATGCGCAAAGTGCTACTTATCGACTGAATTTTACCTCTTTGTCAATCCCAAATTAAAAAATATTCGGGCCTTTAAGCTAAGATTTCAGGATTCAAGTTTTTTTCGGTCTTGAAATTTAAAAATATGCTGCTGGCTTAGTCAGAACGCCTGTACGAAAGAAATTCGGAATGAGGCAGGGCATGGTTGCCGAAAGCTCATTTTTATTTCACTTAGAATTATTACACCCGCATGTTTTCTTGTTCAGAAAAAGTAATATCCCAATAAGCATTTTAGTAAGTTCATAGATTAAAGGATATATCAGTTTTTTATTTAGACGATGACTTTCGGTTAGCAACTGATTTGCTATATATTTTTTGTGAACTGAATCAATCATTCATTGACAACGGACGGTGATCATTTTTCCAGGTATTCTGACCCTCAAATACCCAATTGAGCATGGTATCGTAACAAACTGGGATGATATGGAGAAGATCTGGCACCACACCTTTTACAACGAACTGCGAGTTGCCCCGGAGGAGCACCCTGTACTGCTTACCGAGGCACCGCTGAATCCAAAGGCTAACAGGGAAAAAATGACACAAATTATGTTCGAAACATTCAATTCGCCGGCAATGTATGTCGCCATCCAGGCTGTCCTGTCGCTCTATGCCTCTGGCCGCACTACTGGTCAGTCTCGTTCACTAAATCCAAAATTTTGTCCACAAATTATGCGGAAAACGGTTGCATATGTAATTGCTCCAGAAATTGTGAAGTCACTTGAATAGGTATGAATTGTAACACTTACAGTAGTACCTCGATTTCGCGGAGCACATTGTTGCTATGTTTAGGATTGGTGCTCGATTCTGGTGACGGTGTCACTCACACAGTGCCGATCTACGAAGGCTACGCACTGCCGCATGCTATTCTTCGTCTGGATTTAGCCGGCCGTGACCTTACTGACTATTTGATGAAGATCCTCACTGAACGTGGTTACTCGTTCACGACCACGGCCGAACGTGAAATTGTCCGTGACATCAAGGAGAAGCTGTGCTACGTCGCACTGGACTTTGAGCAAGAGATGGCAACAGCTGCTAGCTCATCGTCTCTCGAGAAATCCTACGAACTGCCCGACGGACAGGTGATCACTGTGGGCAACGAACGGTTCCGTTGTCCTGAGTCGCTCTTCCAGGTCAGTTTTTTTTTTATTCCTGACATCATGGCTTATTTTATTATTATTGTTATCATCATTATTATTGTCATTATTATCATTATTATCATTAATATTATTGTTGTTTTATTAATAATTTACGTTTTCAATCCTTCCTACACCTGCGCAGTGCTGCTGCTCAGACTCATAGTCGAGCGTCAGTTTTTCTGAGGAGTAAATTAACACTGCTCCTTCGGGACTGACTTATCATACCTCACGAGTTCAGTAAAGCACAGACAGCCACCCTTTACAGGATTACTTTCACTTACCTCCTCACCCCTCTCGCATCACTCACGGTGCCTTGATACAGCCTTTGTCAGTTAGTGTTTTAATGCGTTTGTGCTCGACTTTAGGAAGCGATTTATTGCAGCCCTCGTTCCTGGGTATGGAACATGCCGGCGTGCACGAGACCTCGTACAACAGCATCATGAAGTGCGACATCGATATCCGCAAAGATCTCTATGCCAATACCGTACTCTCTGGAGGTAGCACCATGTATCCAGGCATTGCGGATCGTATGCAAAAGGAAATCACCGCTCTTGCACCAAGGTACCATCGTTTGCGAACTTCTGTGATTGTCTTTTTCTTACAGGTGTGGCTGAGATTTTCTTAGACTTTGAAATTTTTGAGAGTTTTGAAGTTTTCGTTCTATTTCGGTTTCACCCTGCAACTGGGCTTCTATTTTCAGCACGATGAAAATCAAGATCATCGCACCACCGGAGCGAAAATACTCTGTATGGATCGGTGGCTCTATTCTGGCTTCGCTCTCTACTTTCCAGCAAATGTGGATTTCCAAGCAGGTGCTGTACCTTCTCGATTTTTGAGAGAGGAACCCTTGACTAACATCTGATGCAGATCTTTTTTATTGCAATAGGGGAAGTGTTGTGTGATCACGCAAATGATATTGTTTTCGAATTCAGATTAAGAACTCTTCTTACAGAAAATGTTAAGCTGATTATTTGCTGAAGGAGAGCCGTCTTAAATTTATTTCCAAGCAAATTTTGAAAGAGGGAATCATCAGCACAGCTTCGAGTATTTGCTGTTGGCACTTGTTACCACATGGGCCAGTGCTGAGCGCCTCTGCCTCTTATAAAGGGTGAAAGAGAAAGGGTTTTTAACTTTTGAGCCTTCAAAGTTTTACGTAGGCGCTGACTTAATAATAAACTTCAGTAAAAAATGTTAGAATGATAATCATGCTTGTGCTTATATTTATTGTACCTTCCAAGACAACTGTTTATTCCTGTGAACTTATGCTTTTTTCTGTGCGATATTTTGCACTACTTCTAGGAATACGACGAATCCGGACCGTCCATTGTTCATCGCAAATGCTTCTAAACGGCGTGCTCAGTTATTACCACAGTGCAACCAAAGCAATATTCAAAGTATGCTGGCAGAAGAAATCGAATTTATTGCATTCATCGAAAGAAGCACTTTCTTCCATTCAGCGCCCTTCTTCCTGTGCTCCCTGGAATTTACTTTTGAAAATCATAGCATTTCAAAAAAATTCTGCACTCTTTTGTGGTGTTTCCCAGCCTGCCAGACTGCAACTGTGATGTTTCTATAACAATATGCATGAAAAATTCTGTTCTGTTTCTCGTTCTTGCATGTGATTCGAAGTGAAATGGAGCAGAACAGGTTGGGATAGAAAAATCACAACTTTGTTGGACAGAGGTGGCGCTCAAATTGCTTTCGAAATCCAAGCCTGAATTTTTGAGTTTCTCGAAATCGATAACAACGCCGTCACTAGGTTATATTTGCGGAGTCAACAGAATTCCAATCAGGATTACTATGGTCCCTTCTAAAAATGAATTTTACTCTAGCTCTCAAGAGCATAATTACGTACTGAAACAATGAACAGCACCAAAAAGAATTTGCCCATACACAAATAATAGAGAGGGGATTTAGTATCAAAGTCTCCAGAAATCCCGAGATTACCAGAAATCTCGGGTTGATCTGCTACCTCCTGTGTAGGTACTGTATTTCGCCTCCCATACTATGTGATACAGCAATAATCTTAATACTCATTTTCAAAGAACAATTCAATTCAGGGATTTTAAAAGCAATTTTTTTTTCGTTTACGCAATTTCATGCTCATTTCTTGCCTTAAGAATAAAAATGCTCTTTCTATGTATTACTATGATCCAGCTTTGCTAACAAGCGATGGAGAACAATTTCTGATGCGAACAATAGTAAAGTGAGGTAGCGATGATAGCAGCTGTCGGCTTCTCACACAATCTGCTGATTGTTTTTGTTTTTAAAACAAAGCCTTCTTTTCTTATCGTGAAATCCAAAACATTCCTTTGCCATTGAAGAATTTCGAAAAGTCACACTTTTTATCCGAAAATCAGTGGTAAGCTTTTAAGGCATATCCGGAACGCAATCTTCAACGGCTACAACTTGATGTCGAACCTAAGACCACCTGGAAGTCCGTGAGGGGATCCCAATTCAATAATGCATAAAAAGGTTCGTCAGATCAAGAACATACTGGGGTATTAATAAATGTGCAATTCTGGTTTGCATCGATGAATCCGATACTACTAGAGTATTCTCACACGGTAAACATTGTTACTTTAAGCCCTTCGTTATTGAGTTGCACCCCCTCTAGTAAGCATACTGCAGGGAGGCCACACAAGCGGTAGCTTATATTCTCACGAGTATCACTCATTGATAAGCGACAAAAACCGATTATTAGCACATGCCCTGCCTCTCGGATTTAACTTTCTCTCACGGTTGCGGTGACATGTTGTATGCTGCTAATTTTGTTTTCACGCAGTGTGATGTTTTTCTGGCTGAATCCAGAAACATATTCGTGTGTATTGCTAATTGTTGCCCCTGTCTGTTACAAATGCGGGCTTCTTAGCCATCATGCCGCTGCTGAGCAGACTAGATCGCATACTTCAATCATTCCTCATGAGGCTTTAGCTAGCTAGGATTGTTGGACAGTGGAGTAGCAGAACCAAGAAAATTAGTGTCTAGCCTGCAGCAATCTTTTAATGTTGCCGGTGGGGCTTGTTCACTTTCCTCACTGAACTCATCCGCTACGCATGATCGAAGATTCCCAAAGGATGAATATGTAACAGTCTGAATCTGCGGCATGCTTCACTTCTGCTCTTTACTATTAAAAAAAAAGTTTTAACATCCCCGAAACGACACCAAGGCAGTACCGATCACCATTTTTTTCTTTTTTTTTCTGATATTTTAACGGCTGAAGTTGATTTTGCGCACAAGACTCTTCAATTTTGTGCCTCTCAAAAGCAATCCAAGTTCCACATTTCAGCACATTTTTAATTGGCATATGCTATTCACACTTGCACTCTATTTCAAGCATTTCGATGCACTTTGATCATTTGTGCTTAATGAAGCAAAGCTCATACCGGATGTTTCAGAGCCCGAAAAAAGTGCTGTGTTTAATAAAGGACACGCAGTACGTTAATTCATCAAATAAAAACGTACATTTGTAAAATGTTTTATAAATAAATATATTTATTATTTGTCCCGCCGGCATTTACTTATTCGAAACTTTGGGAAACGTGGAGTCTTGTACGACAGCTTCAGCTTTTGTTTGGTTGAAATTCACTGAACTTTGTGTTGTGCTATCTCTCCCCTCCCCTTTTCCTTTCCCACCCTGTCCTATTCCCTTTCCTTTCCCATGTCGTAAATATTTTTTGCTTAGAAACTCCATCCAAGATGATAAAATGCACAATTAGGTTCGTTATCAGCAAACGTAAAGTTTGTCTATTTCTGGCTTATAATTGTTGCAATAACTCATTATTATTATTGTAAAAGTAACAGTACTAATTACTACTACTATTGTTGCTCTTATTATTATTATTGTTATTGCTATTATTACTATTGTTATTATTATCACCGGTACTGGCAATGAAAGCTCAAACCCTTATTTTCAAACAAAAAAAAAAATTAGGCATCGGTATCCCGTTAAATCATCCAGAAAGTGCTTTTCTTTAAAAAAAAAAATTCAGATACATTGTTGAATTCGAGCCATATGTGGGCCATTACACCTCTGACCATAAACAATAGTTGGTCAGTCATCCTTAAAAGCGGATTTATCACACTCAGCGAGCAGGAGAGGCACTCGAAGGGGCGCTGCCACCATCTGTCTTGCTGATAGCCAAATTCTTCCCACTGTGCCGATGCTATTGATTCGCTACCACACTCTGGATGGTGCGAAAGCTAGCTAGAACTCCATTAGTGCTATTACTATTGCTAGTGTTAATGTATCTTCTGTTTTACTACCATTTGCGATATTGGATTTTCCTAGATGGTCTTTTTAAGTGTTTCTTCAATGGCGATCTAGGTAGTTCTAGCATAGAGGAGATCATTTTTTTTGCCTTCTTGCAAATTTATACAAATGCGAAAATGCATATTGACACATTTATGTAAAAATTAGCTGTTTAGGACGGCAGTAGTTCCATTTCCCGCGAATTTGCCTGAAAAAGTGCTGCAGTCCTTATTACGTTGTGATACAGTAGCATTTGCCACCGAAAAAAAAGCGCGCGGTTGTAGAGGAATGCGGTTTGCGAATCAATGTCTGAGACGATTCCATTTTTGCTTGCATCATTGACGGGCCACTGGGCAACTCCTCAAATTTTTAAAATCTTTTCTGAGTTACCATTAAAATTTCAATGTTATGGTCAGTTAGACATCTTTGCAACGGTCAGTGTTTTTTTGCTTTAATAGTCACAGCCGTCAGTTTTAACTGTTCAGTTGATCTGGATTTGCAAAATATTTTTCTGTTTCGAGAAATCAGATGTTTCTCATTTTAATCTTTTTTTTTTGCCAGTGAAAGCCAGATAACAGGGATATTAAAAATAAGAGTTTTTGCATCTGATCTGAGATAGATGTGAGCGACAGGCACAAAAATCTGGAGGATTTCAAAGATTTTTGTTAAAATTTCGAACAAAATTTCATAAATACTTTATCATCTGTTTTAAAACCAAACATCACAAGTATCATATGATGCGTCAAAGAGTATCGCGGGTATGTAGTACCACTTGCCGTATAATTTTCGCCATTAGTTGCGATCCAGTGGCCACTGTATCATTTGTTGACTGTGCGGCATAATTATTGGGGTAATCGTTCGTCAGAGGTCACTCATATTTGAGCGCCACTATCGCGCGGATAGCCTTTCATCAGCTGACCATCATCCTATTTTCTGTCACCGTAGAGTTTTAACTATCTGTTTATTCGAACAGCCATTAAGCAGTGTGATTGTATTACATCTATTCTGGATACTTCAATATTTCTAACAGTTGTTGTTTCATCGTCGAGTTCTTTCTTGCCATTGATGTTGCTCTGCTGTTCTATCTTCCAAATGATTTTTTATCGAAATTTGAAGGAATTCCTCCATTTTACCAGAGTTTTGTCAGTGATCGTTCAACACTATCCGTCAGTTTGTGGCATCGTTTTCTAGATATGCAACTAGCACTTTTCGAATCGCTTTGAGTAGCGCTGCACTGTTCGGTGGGCAACCTGTTGCCAATCCTAGCGTTTGCTTTTTTTCTCATGATGATCTTATTATTTTATTCCTTTTCCTAAAAGAAGTACTTTGACAGTGCTGTAGTCGTTTCAAGATGCTACTGATTTATATTCAGCACCTCCACCTTGTCCCAAACTTTTTCTCTCCTAGGAAAATGATGAAGTACTTTACCGACAATAAAGATGATTTTATATTCCGCAACTAAAGCTGCAGCCCGAATTGACAAAAAGTGGCAAGGTGTAAAAGTGAAAGTAATTCTTAGCCACGCAATCTGAATTTTTTTTTGAGTTCCTGGTTTGCGCAATCAGAAATTACAAAATAATTGGCGACGCGCACTAGGCGGGACCGTGTAATCATGCGTTTTTGCAGCATTTCATGCTGTAGTGAGATCGCTCGGAAACCCAGTAGCTAGAATTTGTGACACAGTGGTCTCCAAAGTTCGACAAGTTAATTGTGCATTTTCGCGGTACATGTACACAAAACATTCCGTTCAAAATTCAGTTTTTCAACTGCTCTGGTTCTTAAGTTGGCAATCCTTCCGCCACAAAATTTCTTGAGTCGATACGTAGGAACCACGCAATCCAGGGGTCTGAGTTTGAAATCCTTGAGTTTCGCGTGGGCTATTTAAAATTTCAGCCTACCAGCTTTTCTGGCCACCGAGTTAGTGATTTCCCCTACAAAAACTTTTACGGGGGCGTACATGAGTACCACGCACACCCGGTTGATTCGGTTGAAGTTCTACGCAGGCGAGTAACATTCCTTGAAAATTTCAGCCTCCCTGCTTTTCAGGTCCTCGAGTTAGCAATTTTCCTACCAAAGCTTTTACGTGGTAGTAAGC